CCACTGCCTCACACAAGCCACCCACCCAACCTGAATCCACTGCCTCACACCAGCCTCTCACCCGGCCTGAGTCCACTAACATCAGGCACCCACCCAGTCTGAGTCCACTAACATCAGGCACCCACCCAGCCTGAATCCACTGCCTCACACGAGTCATTGACCCCACAGCCTGACACCAACCCCTGACTCCACCTGGCCCACCTCCTCACGTCAATCTGTGACCTACTGACCCCATCTCTTAGAATACCCTCTGACCCAACCATCTCTTAGAATACCCTCTGACCCAACTATCGGACATCAATCTCTGACCCACTGACCCACCCTCCTAACTAACCAGCCCCCAACACAAGCTGGTTCACCTTTGACCAGCATCCTGCGAGCAGGCAGCAGGGTGGGTGAGGCCCTGCCCTGGTGAAACTCACACCAGTGCAGGAACCAATCAAGACACACAAGAGCAGGTCGCTAGCACAATCCCCCTCTTGCCGGAAGGCTGGGGGTTCAAACCTGTCCAGTGGCAGCTGGGAAGGCAAGTGTGGGGATATGCTTCCGAAAAGACCAGCTTTGAAAACCTGACCCAGCTCAACGCACCGTGACCCAATAGTGACCCGATGTCCCTCCACCTGGGCTTCCTGGAGGAGCCTTGGTGGCCCAGTGGGTTAGAGTTGGACTACTAACCGCAAGTTCAACAGTTCAAAACCACCGGCTGCTCCACAGGAGAAAGATGAGGCTTTCTACCCCCATAAAGAGTTACCGTCTCAGAAACCCACCGGGGCAGTTCTGCCCTGTCCTAGCGGGTCGCCGGGAGACCCAGATGGAGCTGTGGACTTCTCCACACGTGTGGGGCGGCCAGAGTTGGAGCCGGCAGAACTCACCACCACGACAGCCTATCACGTGGCTGCGTTACATTCCGTCGTCGGGTGCATGTCTTGTGACGCTGTGCTCCTCACATCTGCCTTCCCCTCCCCTCTGTCCCACGGCAAGCCCAGGCGTTGTCCCAGCAAAAGAGTGTTCCCAGCGGCTGGCTCTTTCGAAACTAGGCTGCCAGACCTCTCTGCTGAGCTCCCTCTGGGTAGGCGGGCACAAGCCTTCAACCCTCCAGGTAGCAGCCCAGCACCTTCACCGTTCCTACTCCCATGGTCGTCCTGGCTGCTGGACTCCTCGGCGGGCAACGTGGGAAAAGGGCCCCACGCGTGCTCACCCCACTTTCAGAAAGCAGAGTCTCCCAAGTCAGCCAGCGTGCCTCCCTGTCCTGTCTGCACACCCCCCACCCCCGCCCCCCGGGGCTCCTGTCATCACACACTCATATGACAAGGACATGTAGCAGACTGCAGAACACATCAGGCCCTAACCACGTACCATGTCACTATACAAGGCGATGCAGCGGAACACAGGCACGCAAACGTAACACAAACACGCTCCCCACCATCATCCAGCAGCGCTGACAGCCCCCGTCCACGCTGGCTCACATCAACCCTAGGGGACAGGGCAGGACGGCCCCTGTGGGTTTCAGTCACTCTTCACTGGCATGGACAGTCTCAACTGGTCTCCCACGGAGCCCCTGGTGGTTTCCACCGGCTGATCTTTTCTGCTCATCGCCCGGGACACATCCGTGTCACGTGACACAACCCAACATCCCATAAAGGGGAGGTCACACCCACCATGCACATAGCATGCCCGGTGGTCACCCCTGAGGGCTGGTGGTCTTCCCCTCCCCGCTCTCCAGCTCACCCTTTGCACAACCAGGCAAGGAGCCCTGTGGTGCAGCCAGTTAAGCTTTGGGCC